CATACATAGCGGGATTCTGCTCGCGTGCTGGGAAGAGGTTGCCGTCCACCCATGTATTCACAATGGGCGGACGGCAAGTGGTTAACTAGTAACAAAAACGTGTCTTATTTGTGTATCACTCAGCTATAGAGAGATTGTAGTCCATCACAGGAGTGAGCTTGGAGTGGTGGTTATTTTACAACACACACACAGGGATCATGGGGAACAAAAGTTGCCACCCTCCAGAAGGAAGGACAGTGTCAGCATGAATTCAGAGATGATTTGAGGGTCTGCAGCTGTGCGATAAACAAATAAACTACATTTTTGTTAATAGTTAAGGTACTTGAATGCATTTTTAAGATTTAACTTCTTGAGTTTAGTGTCACTTTAAAGGTGGCCATACACTGTACAACCATTGCAAGACCTTAGTCTTGCGATGGTTGTAAAGTGATTAAAAAAACATACGATCTGCCCATCTTGGACAGGCAGATCGCACTCTCGATCATCGCAAGCCCGCCCCCCTGAGGGGCGGGCTTCCGATGACCGCAATGCTGAAGGGCAGTGTGCGCGTGCGCACACCGGCCTGTTCGGCATTTGTCTCCCGAGCACCGTTCAAACCAGCCGAAAATCATACAATTCTCGGCTGGTTTTCTAACATGCTCCTTAGACAAAAGACGTGCGACCGTACAGTAGAAATGGTCGCACGTCTTCGTTCACACTGTTCGATTCTCGTACGATCGCGGGATTTCCCGCGATTCTCGTACGAGAATCGAGCAGTGTATGGGCACCTTTAGAGTGCATTTCTGGCAGGTTAACGGGTATTTTCGTGTAATTGCAGAGTCTTCAAAGGGATAAAACACAGAAAATATGTTTTCTTTTACCATAATGCTTTATGAGCATGAGAAACCCTAGAGAGGTGGAGTTCCCTTTAAGAATTAGGTTGTATAATAATTTTGCTTGGGGCTGTAATATCTGTTTACATTTTTATATAGTGTAGGGCTATAAAACCATCAGGTCCAGTTGTTTTCCTAAATATAAAGAAGGAACCAGCATTGCTGACCTTTCCTGCTGATAATGCTAGTTAATACCGTTAATATATTATGCCAATTAATTCATTATACATGTTTCCTTTATTTTAGAATAAATAATCATGAAAACTGTGCTGCAATGCTCATTGGATCTATAGGCGGGAACATTGTTAACTGTAAAGACAAGAAGGGGAGGTATGTTCAAATGCTCAAAGGTGAAGCAGAATTGCTTACTAAAGTGCTACGAATAATATTTACATTTAAGATAAAGCCGTATTTTAAAATGCTATGGTACATTCGTTTATATTTTTTGTCCTAGTAAAAACTTACTTTAAAAAATCAGTCCATGGAAAACATATTCTGTTTTTTTTTTTCTCCAGCAGATAACATTTTCTCCAGCAACACATAACCTACTTTTTATGTGTGTTATGTATTCTGGAAATGCTGGTCTGCCAGGTATTCTGCAGTTAATCATGAATGCAAAAAACAAGGAAATGCTTTTAATATAGGAAATGTATTGGTAAATGTATCTGCTTCGAAGCACGTATAAAAAATAGTACATTTTAATAGCTATGATTATTTGTTGATCAGACTGAGCTATTGGATGTAACTTCATGTGGCTGACATTTGTTTTTTTGTGACACTCAATATTAGTATCTCTTTTGTCTTCTCACAAGGACTCCTCTGCATGCAGCAGTCTTCAGAAATCACACAGAATGCATTGAACTTCTTTTAAGCTATGATGGGAATGTAAATGCTGTCGATGTAGCTGGAAAGACACCGCTCATGACCGCTGTTGAAAAGGGCCATTTATGTGCTGCAGGTTGGTGCCAAAAATGTGGCATTAAAATTGATCTTTTCTGTTTTCCATTCAACTGCTGTTAAACTGAAAATTGCATGCTTAGTCTTACATTCAGATTTTCTTTAATATGCTTTAGAAATTCTGATCAAAAGAACCAGTGTGGACATGACTGCAAAGGATATTTTATCAAATACAGCACTTCACTTGGCATGCATGGCAGTAAGTAAAAAGTATAGATTTCTCAGGGGGAGTTGACTTTGGATGACTTTAGATATATTGATTAGGATTATGTGTTCACCCTAACATCATATTTAAAAGACATTAGGTCATCCCATATTGTGCATACCTGATTAACATCTACTTAGGTACAAGATGTAAAACTTTATTGCTACCAGTCACTATCTTAGAATGGGAGTGGAACTGCCAATCTCCCTTGATTAGAGAAAGCTTTCACAACTTTAGATTTGTGCTGCGCTTTGCATCTTCTATGCAGAATTTGAAAATTATTTAGTAGAATGTGTGTTGAATGTATAGTGTGAATTTATTATCAATTAATTTGTATTTGTAGACATCATAATTAGCAATGTTACATAAGTAAATTTTTAAGTAGAGTTGATCAGCAGTGGTGAACCTAATAGATAGAAGGGGCCTCAAGTGCAGTTTAAGGGGCCACATATAATATTCAGTATATGTAATTCTACAAGAGTCAGTGACAGACTGGGAAAATGTTGCAGGACACAGTCAGAGACTGGGAACATGTTATAAGAGACTGCCAGAGATCATTGTCATTACAAGTCCTTTACAAATCAGTGCATCTGTAATTGTTTTCCCTATAGCCACTGCCCAGTCTACTGTTGCCATCTTTGATTATCCAAAGCTAGATCAATTATAAAAAAATCAGAGAAATTAAAATAAATAAATAAAAATAAAAAGGTAACAGCACAGAAGAATTAAGAAAAGTAAGAAAAAAACTAAACCTTTTAACTAGTTCATCTCAGTCTAATTAATATATTTTTGCTTCACTGGCCTGACCTTTAGTTGTTGCAATACAGGTACCATGGTATGGAGATACCATCTTGGCAGTATCGGTACTATAGCACCCTGTGGCAGTTCTTATTGGGGTCTCTTACCTCCTCATTTGTCACAGGTAACAGAAAACAGAATCATAGTCCTTAAACACTTTGTACACAATAACTATTAAATGGCTACCTTCAACCCTCAGACTGCAGATCATACATTAACCCCTTCATGACTGAGGCCCTTTTTTCCATTTTTGCACCCATGTTATATTCCACATTTTAGGCCTGAAAATGACGTAAAACCCCCCAACATTATATATAAATGCACAAATCCCAGGAGCCCGGTATGCACCTTAAAAATGACAGCTGCCTCCTAACTTTTGAGCTTTTCTCTAGTCTAGTCTTGAAGCTGGAAAAGTATCTGAACTTGTACCTGTACCGAGTACGGTACTTGGTATCTGAACATCCCTATACTGTATGTAAAGACTGAGCCACAGGAATGGCCAAATCTGGCAAATCTAGTGGAAAAAAGATTACATACATACCTATACATAGACCTTAAATGACTACATCAACCACTCTGTTTTTTTTCATACGTGCATAAGTCAGTAACGCGTGATAAATGGGCCTGTGATATGAAAAAATATATAGTCTGCCATTGTTAACCAGAAATCTAAACACCTGGGTCAGTGACTCAAAGCATTGAAGCTGTTAAAGCAGCATGTCAGCCAGGCAACTATCATTTTCATAAGGGGTTCAACAATGACAGCCCCTAAATTTCTGTCATAATTGGTTTACTTTAAAGCAGTTTAATCAGAATGTGCTGGAGAACCTTCAATATACCATGTCCACCAACCAACCAAAGTCTACTACTTTGCCTATACAAAACTGGCCAGTGAAATGACTCTGAGTGGTCTCGTTTATGTCTTGTGGACTGAAGTCATTTTTTTCTTTTTTGAATGAATATGAAAACCCCTTTCAAGTAAAATAAATATGCGTACTTTATCCCTACTGGCCCTATCTAACATGTAGACATGAAAAAAGCCTTTAGCCGAGTTGTAGCATTCTCCATATTCCAACCCAGCCAAGGTCTGGTAGCATCCTTCTGAATCTCAGAGCTTGGTGGGTTGCACATACAGTGGGACTTCATAAGCTTCAAAGGAAAAGCCCTTAGAGCCACAAGTCTACAGATGTAAAGATCTAGGGCCTTTCCCCTTATCTAAAGCCCTGCTGCACTGTGCAACCTGATGGGTCCAACATTGAAAAGAATGCTGATTGGGTCTGGTTAGTACAAAGAAAGGATATTGCCATACCCTTGGGTTTGAGGCCTGAGTGTATACGTTACTGAGATCAATTGCCATTCAAATGTATTTCTTTTTAAACATGGTCGTCTGAGAGATTTCTCCATAGACCAATCAATGCTTTTCTATTATTTTCAAAGGAATGCCCAAACAAACTTCAAATATATTTTAAGTGCATTATCTACATATGACTATAGTTTGCCCTTATGCCTCTGTTTCTGTAATTAGTTCACGTCTTGTCTCCTAGCATGCATAGACAAATAGCATGGATCCTCATGTATTATATAGCACCTGTCATTAGAATAGTGTGTAGGCTGCCACTGCTAACTTGCTTCTGAAAATACTGGTTGTTTAGCTGTGTACTTCAGTACATTCTAATCACAGACCTGGAACATACATGCTGTAAATCAGTGTCACCAAAGTGTTGAAATCCCTAATCTCTATACTTGCTTCAGGTCATTGACTCAGAAGGCATTGAAAAGTCAGCAGTGACAGCTGACACAATTCTCTCATGACAGGTATGCTTTTAAAATGGCAAGGACTTTTAGAAACAGTGTCAGCACACCATATACAGTATGTGGTATTCTAATATATAATATTCAAGTACAAATTAGTTACATTGCGTACACTGCTATATATGTTAAATACATCATATTCAGTCTTCTAAAATGCAAACTTGCTAACACATACAGTTTAAATCAACACCAGGATTGATATCAATGTTTTGTAACATAGTTGAGCTATAGCTAACCTGGCAAATCTTCAGAAGAACAGAGTTTCAGGCCAAGTAGGTTAGGCTTTAACATAAAGGATGCATATAAGATTTGCTGACTCTATTTCTAAAAATACTTGGAGATTTAGGTATGAGATAATTCCCTTTAGATTTCAGAGCACCCAAGACCATTGTCTAAGTGCTATATGTTGATGTATGTGGTGTGCAAACCAGATTGTCCTAATAACAGCACACTTTAAATACGCTGGGAAAAAAGTTGAAATTCTATTTAACCATCTATATTAAGGTCAGTATTAATATACTGCATCTGCTTTAGGGGGTTGTGTTTATTAATACATATTTAATTCACAGAGAGATTAAAGACACTGAGGGGAATTTATCAAAACTGGAGCAAAAAAATCTGGAGCAGCTGTGGATAGTAACCAATCAGCTTCTTTCTTCAGTTTGTTCAGTTAAGCTTTGAACATGAAAGAGAGAAGTTGATTGGTTGCCATCGGCAACTGCTCCAGGTTCTGTATGCTCTGGTTTTGATAAATCCCCCCACTGAGTTTAAAAAAAATAGCTGCAGGTATAAAAGTGCATGCACCTACAAGTACCTCAATCATCCTCCAAAACCATGCTATTATGACACATCTAGGTAGTGCTAAAGTTTACCTGTATGTGAAGCAGGCCATTATAAACATAGGCCAGTAGGAATGTGTGTGACTGAGTGGTAGCTGGTACCTTCAGCACTACTAAAGTGTTGAAGCTATGCCTGTTAGAACAGCCCAGCATTTGGCTGTGATAGCAGAGGGCTCCAGGTGGCTGCACTTAATACCTACAGCAGTTTTGTTTTTTGTAAATTAGAACTAAAGTCTTGTTTTTTTAAATTGTTTAAAATGCAAAGATTCTGGTATTGCAAGTTATAAATAGTCCATGCATGCACACAGAACTTGCATGCAAAACTGCGTATCTTGTAGCTTTTTCAGAAGGTCTTCCAGCTGCTGTGCAGGACTAGGGATTCCATCTGACCTAATTTCTTCAGCTCTGCAAGTTTCTCAACCCACAGAGGTCATAGGCTTTCCATACCTCCCTCTTAAGGTGCCCATACACTGTACGATTCTCGTACGAGAATCGCGGGAAATCCCGCGATCGTACGAGAATCGTACAGTGTATGGAAGGCGTGTGACCGTTTCTACTGTACGGTCGCACGTCTTCCATCGAACAAGCAGGCTGCAAAACCTGTGAGTGGCCTGCTTGTTCGACAACTGACGAACGGGCCGGTGTGCACACGCGCACACTGCCCGTTTGCCGTCCTTGCAAGCCCGCCCCTCATTGCAGTCATCGCAAGCCCGCCCCCTTTAGTATGTGATTTTGCACTAATATTTGTAGAGGCCATCACTGCACAGAACAGTGCAGCTCCTCCCAGTCCTTTCCTGTGTTCTACCTTCTCATTTGTTGCCAGCTAAATTTTTTAGGTAAGTAATGGCTTGAACTAGTTAAGAAAATTGAGTGTATCCCATATGCCCAGATCTTAAAAGGGTCAAAACAAGCTCATGGCTGCAATAAGATAAACTTATTGTGAATGGAAAGACGTCGAGAAACATTTATTCCCCTCTGCAAAGTATGATCCTGGGGGCACTCAGCTCTGAGCACTCTGGTTCAGAGCTGTCAAGATCTCAGCTGCATAGCTGGGTAAACAGCTGATCAAGCACAGTCTGTGCTCAAACAGCTGGAGAGAACTCTGTGAAAGGGACTCTTGGAGGGAAGGGGGACTTCTGATGTGAAAGGGGGGACTCTGATGTGAAGGGGAGAAACTCCACCATTTTTTTGCGTGGGATTCCCCCTTACAATCCATATCAGACCCCTATCTAGAAAAAGGGTCTGGTATAGATTTTGGGGGGAACCACACATGAAAAATGCTTTTATAGAGAACTTCCTGTGAGGAAATGGTTACATCACTTCCCTCCAGTGGTAACACCCCTTCATCACCTCTCACTAAAGCTGAAGAACAGACTAGGCAAGATGATATATGGATAATATGTAATATGGATAATGTAAAAGGTAACACAGATCTGCAAGTATGCACAATTTCAATTTTTTTAACTTGCACTTTCAGAGTGTTTGGATTAAAAAAAAAAAGATACTTATGTAGCGCTCACCCCCGAAGGAGCCGCTGGATGATCGGATCTTCTGTTTCACCTCTGTGACACAGCACAAGCAATGAACCCACAGCACACCAGCACACCTTGTGAAGTTTTATAACAGATTTAATGACTATGGAATAGAACAAACACTTAACGGCTCCCCAATCACCTGTAATACAACCAATAACAGGATAAGGCAATCTGACACGCAGCAGCAATCTATTGCATGCAGGAAAGCCTGCAATGTCAGAATGTCTCAGATATTATACTTAGATTGAATGCAATCAACAATAATATCTTTACTTAAAAGTATCTATCCCCCGCTAAACTACTGGCCAGTAGTATTGTCCTAGGCTAGCCAACGTTGGGGCCCTTGCTGTATAGCAGATGTGAACAATAAACAGGGTGTCACTGCGGCCAAAGGCCTCTCACCACTCCTCAGATCAAATGGGAAGAGATGAAGTCTGCTGGTGGAAGCTGGGTGTCCTCTCTCTCTCTAGTCGACTCTGGGAGGAAGGTGAAGTCATCTGGGTCCCTTGTAAGAAGTTTTCACTCACTCAGGATACTGGCAGTCGTCTCCCTCTGGATGGCTGGATCACCCCAGTGGCTGGTTCGGCAGTGCGACTAGGCCTCGATGTCCTTTGCGTTAACCAAGTCACCGGACCTCACTTCAGGCACTCGATCGGGTCCTCTCCGATTCAGCAACTCAGATCAGTCTCTCTATAGACGGCTGCACAGAGCCTGTGTGTCCCTATATGTCAGCGGTGACCACACAGCTTTGTTTCACACAGTCTTAACCCACACAGGGTTACACAGGTCTGTCCTCTTCAGATGACTGTCCCAGACTGAGGCTGCTCTGCAGTTGCAACCCATAAGCCTCCTGTTTCCTTCCCCACAGCCTCCTGGGTAATGCAGTTCTCAAAAATCCTTTCAGCAAACGTATCCAAATCAGCTCTGTATACAGTCTCCACAACCTGTGCTCTCTGGCTCCACCTGCAGCTGCAATATCTTTTCTCTTAAAGGAGCTGAAATCACAACAGGGCTACACTTACAATTTTTAGAGTCTCTTTAATCTCTGCTATTTGAAAAGAGTGCTGATGTCTGGGGTACATGCATTCTTACAAGGTTGGAATAAAGCATGCATTTAAAGTAAATGCTGGGCATCAGCACTGCCATGGCCAGTGCACATTCCCCGCAGACAATAAAAAGGTTAGAATCTGAGATAAGGTTTGTTAAAATCAGAGTTTTGTATTCAAATATTAAAATTAGTTTTGAAAAAATATCATTTTACTTGCAGGGACATGAAAGTTGTGCTGTTTTAATCGTTGACAAGATAAAAGATCAGAATGTTATTAACTCAGCAAACACTGCATTACAAACGTAAGTTATGGTTTGTGTTTTCACATACTGCTGTGGAATAAAGAAAAGTGAATACTGTAGAGTCAACAGTTACAGTCAACCTTCAGGAGTCTTTGGCATGCATTCTTTCATTTGTACTATTTTTCCTTTACATTTGATTAAATATTCCAGAAGCTGCCAGCTTAGACAGAGTACAAATAGCATGCTGCTGAACTTCGGCAGATATAACTAAGTGCATGTGCATTAGAACCCGAAATTTACATTTTTCTGGGAAGCTCTTTATTGTCTTTAGGGCTAAAACACATTACGTGTGTTAGAGTGATACAGTGACATTCATTTTGATAGGACATCGCACAGGATTAAGGCAATGCAGATCAGATGCACATGTGTTGTAGTGCACCACATAAGAAAAAATGCTGCATTTCCATTTTTTGGCCCCTTCCTGAGAATTGGCAGTTCATTTAAAAAAATAGGTATCCTTAATGCAAAGCACGTTAAGAACCCATTCACACCTTTGAAGATGTGTTGCATTGCAGTAATGTGCGCATTAACATGCTTGTTACCATACTGCATGTTCACGCATGTTACATGCATTAGCGTGTTGCAGTGCCATCCATTTTAAATGATACCCCAACACACTAAGGCAAAGCAGTTCCGAAGCACATGTGCTGCCACACACCACAACACATGGTAATGTAGACTTGAAGACTTAGGACCCTGTTATAGCGAAGTTGGGGAAACGGTGGGGACTATGTCAACTTATGCTAAGTATGTATTAAGATCATATAAATATTATTGTTATGACTAGTAGTTTATATGGGCCTTAGACTTTTGCATTACTCGTATTCGCCATTTCTATAGACAGGGCCGGATTTCCTACAAGGCCACCAAGGCCTGCCCTCGGGACGGCATGGAGTAGAGGGGTGGCACAGCTGCTGGGTGGGTAGTTTTTATTTCAACATTTAGCCCACCTCACGCCCGCAGTGGTTTTCAGGGTCCCCCCACTCTTCTGGGGGACCGAGGACAACTGCACATTCGTTCAGGATGGAGAGCGGGGAGTGGAGAACGTCCGTTTTACGCTCTGCTCCGTGAAAACACTGAGACAGGAACGCTGCACTCTCAGCCTTACCATCTCAGCTGTCACAGGAATTCCAGCACAGTGCTGTGCTCCAGTATTGGAGGTGACAGGTTCAGTGAAGAGAACCTGTCACCTCCAAATGCTATTACACAGGGGGCTTGCTCCTGTGTGATAGCAATAAAGTTAGGTGAAAAAAGTAAAGAAATAATGCTTAAAATAAAAAAAGTGATAAAAAAATAACAAAAAAAATAAATAAGTAAAAGATAAGATAAATACAAAAAAAATGTAAATTAAAAAATGATAGAACAGTAAAAAAATTATAAATAAAAAATAAAGAAATTAAAACCAATCCTGCCTCCCCCGTCATCTGGTTGCCATTCTCCATGGGGGGGTTTCATGTTTGGCAGGGAGGGGGGAGCATTGAGGAACCTAGCCTTCATTTGTATAACAGTTGCTATGATGCTGCACATGCAATCAGCTATGACACCAAGCAATTGGAGGACTTTAAGGTGCCACTGAGAGCTGGAATAAGCACGCTGACAACCTTGACAGTTGCATGCCTTAAAAGTAACTGCTTTGGGAGACATTAAATTGGTGAACAGTGAATGGTAAAAGTTCCTCTTTAATTACCCTCCTTTCTCTTGAACACCAACACCCCTTACAATAATACATTCATTCAAAAAGAACATTTATAATTAATAGGGGAATATAGCAAAATTAAACCCCTCCCATTTTTCTAACCATCCCCTTACATTACTATAATACATAATAAAGAAAAAACCCCATAAATAATGAACTGTCCTTCATAAAATGGGCCAAGGTATATGATCTCAGCTGAATAGGAGGGTCAGAGGTCAGGCAGCCCAACCGAAACATCTGTCCCCTACGTTCCTTCAGCTGAAATTATGTGATCATATTTGGTCACTGATTCCGTCCACCGTGGGAGACCAAGACAGTGCTTTGTGCTGGGTAAGTTTAACAGGACTTCATGCTATGGTTTATTATTCTAAAAGCGTAAGCTGATCCTACTAAACACCAATATGTCTATAAAATGTTTCTTCTTTTTATTTGTATTTTTTTCTATGTTATGTAACAATTATAACAAATATGAATGTGCAGCATGTGATAAATAATATTTTGTATGTTTTAATATTGTAGGCCTCTTCATATAGCAAGGCAAAATGGATTAAAGGCTGTTATTGAAAAACTAATCAGTGAAGGGGCACTCGATGAAAATGGTAAATAAAATCTGCATCAATCTAAAAATTAGCAGAACATCAATCTTTGGAGCATGCTTTGCAAAACGTGTGTATAAATGTATGTGCATGTGTGTACATGTTAATAACTATGTTCTGACCTGAGCACTTTGTTCACTAGATTCTCTTTTCTAATACAAACTGAACCCTACTTTTGTCACCATGATAAGAGATTGCATTTATTGCTTTATATTTACAAGTGGTTCCATTGATATGATTTGTGCACATCTGTATTAAGGATAGCTCCTGAGCATGAAAGTGTTTCTCATTGTGGAGATTTTTTATAATGTTGGAATATGCTCACTTAGTAAATAAACCCTTTTCAAAATAGAAGGGAAAATCCCGTCACCTTATGGGCATCACATCTGTAGTGGTAGGACTTTCTACTAGGTGTACTTGGCGAAAGCTCTACTTATGTATGGTAGGTCTTGTACTCAACAGAACTTGATTTCTTTGAACTGCCTCGTGATTTCAATATTGTAAAGCCTGATTTTATTTTAAAAAACTCAGTGACAGTTTTGGACAATAGATTTACAATAGGTCAATCTATTGCTTATTTACAGCAGAATGCTGTAGATATGTAGATGCTAATGTTATTTCATACAAGAGTTCTTTTAGTCCTTTCCTTTCTTTTCCCTATAATGTATTAAAGCTGAACTAAATCCTTGTATCCTCCTATCTGCTGAGGATGGCACCATTTTAGCCTCCTATTAGATGTGTAGTTGCCATGGTGCCGCTCACATGATGAGCTATATAATACCAGCCATTAGAGGTCTTGAAATTCCAGTTGAGAACTGACATAAGCATGTTGTCAACAGTGACAGTTATCATTAGAGCCTTAAGGACCAAAACACACTTTTCTACTGCAGTTCAGTAACATGCATGCTCTATCAATGCACGTTAACACACATTATATACGTTACCGTGCTGTGCTGCTATCCAAGCAGCTCCAACTCATATGCACCATAATGCATATCGTGCACTGCATTGCCAAAAATGATGTCTGTTTTTGTTGTTTGCTTTTTTTTGTTCATTTTGGTGCGTTTCCAACCCATTTATTTGAATTGGCTTCCCTTAAAGGAGAACTATGAGGTGAGTGATTTTCACTCACCTCATAGTTCTAGCCAACCTGTGACAATTAAACTGTTACAGGTCGGCTCAGTAGATCGGGAAGTAAGCGAACATAAACCGGCGTTCGCTCACTTCTCGGGCGTGTCATGGCTCTCTGCTGTGACAGGGGAGGGACTGGATTCCCCCCTCCCCGCTCCGATCCTCCAGGGCTGACTGGCGGAACGGACGAGGGAGGGGGTGGGTACTCACACAGCTGGGCGGATCCAGACATAATTGTCGAGATCCGCTTCAGCTGTGGCGTCTCAGTATACCGCGAACTGTAGCTCGCGGTATACTGAGCTTAGGGTGACGGGAGGACGCTAGTTTGTGTCCTCCCGTTACCCTAAGGAGAACTATGGGGAAAAGCCCTCACCCCATAGTTCTCCTTTAAGGCGTGAAAAATGCACATTTAACGCAATGCACCAGGATACCAAGGTCTAAATAAGCCCTAAAAGAGCTTTTTGGGAAAGTAAAATTGGTGAGTTAAGCTCTGCTTTCAAAACTAAAGCTGGCCATATAATATAAGATTTTTCTTGTTCAGCCCCACAAGCTGAACAAGAAAAATCACTTGATTCCTCTATTTACGCTAAAGAGTGTGGATGAAGTAATCGCACCTGTTGGCTATTGCACTCAACTGCACTCACCATTCGGGAATTCTGACATCTGCGGACGTTGGCTGTCAGAATACCCAAATGGTGACTCTAGTTCATTGGCTGCAGTCGCAGTTTAGCTGACAATTTTCCACCCAGCTTTTCTGACAAAAGATGAAATTTGACCTGTGTATGGCCAGCTTTAGGGTATGCTTATGGGAAGACATTTGCCCAATCAGGGGAACAGATCATACCTAATTCCCCACTTAAAAACCACAGGTGGCACACACTCCCCATTCTGCCCTTTCTTTCTCCATAGCGTTTACAACACAAGCTTGGCCGAGATAAGCTTGCAGTCTTGTGCCCAGCTGTAACATTCCTCTGGCTGAGGGCAGTCATAACGTACCTGCATATCTGACCATCCTTGTTAGCTCCACCCCAGCCGAAACCTTTTACTTTGTTAGAGTGTGGAAAAGATAGAACCCTGTCAGGTTTACTGTTTTCCATTACCCCATTGGGGTGATTTCCTCTAACCTCCAATTGGGACAGGAAGTGATGGGAAATCTTTCCAGTGAGGACACAGCATTTTCATAAAATGGGAAGGATAATTCAAATCCACCACCAGCTCCCAGAGTTTTGCCATAAAATGCATTTATGAAGAGCATAGGGGACATGCTTTAAAAATATATTAAATACTGGCATTAGTTATATGAGTGAAGTACATGAAAAAAAATACTTAACTACCCTTGAATGGGCTGGTGTGTAATGTAATTCAGAATGTACAACTAGTGCTTATCCAGTGGTGATTAGTAAAAGCCTGGTTACCCATATTATGCAATTTTTAACCCATGATAAAAGCAGAGTAGTGTTTTAAGGTCAAAGCATATCTAAACATTATATGGCCAGCCTCATTGTAGAAGCAGAGTATTTTTCTTGATATGGAGTTTTCAGCAGGATAATGTATGGTGTCACAATGCCTAGATTGTTCAGAAATATCGTACTGAATATGGCAAAAAAATTGGCTTGGTACGTAATGTACCAAGCCTCCTCAGTTTACAAAATCTCATTATGGAACCAGTTATGTCAAACAGAATGCTGCTACTAACCAAATCATGATGTTTGGTATCTACAGACCAGGATCTAATGTAGTTATGTAAGCCCTGCTGAATCAATTCAATGGCATTGGATTGTCTCCAATCCCATAGTATATATCTTGTGTAGGCACATGCTAATATTTTATCACGTTTGCTAATAGGTTTAAAATTGAATCATTTTTTTAGATGGTAAGCACCTTTCCCAAAGGGCTCATAAACCTGAAAAATAAGTTGCCTTACATAAAGAAACTAGCAGGGTTATTCACAAAAGGGTGAAGAGTTTGGAGAAGGCCGGAGAAGTGAACAATCTAGGACAAAATAGCCGATTTAGAAAAATTCTCCAATTCAGTTCACTTTTTAGTTCAGTCACAGTATGTTGTCCTAGATTGTTCACTTCTCCGGCCTTCTGCAAACTCTTCACCCTTTCGTGAATAACCCTGTAAATGTATGTGTAGAATTTTCTATTTAGACGGTTAACATTGTTATTGCCCATTACTAAACTTTTACATTTGGGCAGGATTAACTCAAACATATCTGTAAATGCAAATCACAGCTCTTTCTTACACGGCAGCTTGGATTTTTAGATTTACTTTTATTTAATACATTGCTGAGTTATCTGTCCATATAACATAATTGATAAATTAGTGATGGCTTCCTTGTGAATGTTACACAGATGTAGCCTACTAATGTTTGTGCTAATTGTTGCTTTGTCTGCGTTTGTGTCCAGGTCACACACCAGTGCTCGCTTCTGCTTCTAACAAAGATGTAGCTGAATGCCTGGCTCTGACATTGGCTCCCACGATGTCTTTTCCTCCTTTCTGCACAATGACGTCTTTGAACCCTGTTTATTATAAAAAGGACGATAGCAGTAACTTGCATCATTATGAGAATTCCCTGTTACAATATTTCTCTCTAATAGCAAACTTTACTTGACAGATAAGGTTAAAAAAACATGAAACAAAAGACCTTCAGACAAACAGCACAGTTGGGCTATAGTGTGGATCTCAACATGTCTCCATACAGCAGCAGAAAACATTAGAATCAGAAAGAGCAGAACACCATATGTATTGAAAAGATGTAAATTGTTACACAGAAAATGAAAACACACTGGGTCTCCTTTACTTTATTTGTGTATATTTATCAGCAGGCAAGGCAGCAATTTTTAACAGCTGTTTTATGCATTCTTTACATGCAAATTGTAATTCCTTTTCTAAGTGGAATACCTTTTTATATGAACTAACTCTGAAGAGAGCGAGCCCTGAGACTTATACAGTCCGTGTCTGCAATATCAAGCTTTGGTGTTTGCTCTAAATTTGAAAATGACTTACAATTTGCATGCATGGGTTGCATGAAACATCTGTTGAAATTTGCTGCCTTATCTACTTTAATGGGCTGATCAATATACACAATTTAGGTAGACAAGATGTATACTGTTACTTAAAAGATGTAAACATGGTCCTGCACTTGGTGCCCTTCATTACCTTCACTTTATTGTTCATATTGATCAGTCCATTAAAACAGACAGAACAGCAAAATACAGCAGCTGTTGTATGTGTTCGTTGCATGCCATTTGTAAGTCATTTTCAAAGTAGCATACCCCATTGTATGTACAGAATCCACCAGCAATCAATCTTATTTCTCATGATCTAAGGAGAGACTGTCAGGGCATTTAACATGTTATCCTCTTTGTAACCCTCAGGTCAAAGCCCTCTTGCTACAGAGATGTGATAATAGCGAAGGATCGAAATTACATTCTAGAAATTTAGGCCACGCAGTTATAAGGGGAAGAAAGGTTTTCAAACCACAACAATTGCTTACTTCTTGTTGGAAGACTGTAATCTCATGTCCATGGGCAGTTTTAGAGTAGCTACTCAACAGTCAGATGTCATCTTGAGCTCTGTAGACATCTTGTATCTCTCCTCTGGTCTGGCCCTCCTTTCTCCTGCCCCAAAATGCCTGCCGTTTATGAGAAGTAGGCACAGCATAGAAGAAAGAGCCCAACTGTAAGCTGATAACTGTCAGGAAGCAAGGGGTGTTACCTCTTCACGGGGCCAATGGGCACAGCGCAGGGTACGGAATCCCCTCCAGCCTGGTAGAACTCCTGGCGCCCGGTTTGCGGGTGCGCATGCGTGAGTCTCGCGACAGGCGCGCGCGCAGTACACAGGCCATTAGGGCTATCAGGTGTGGGCCT